ATAATGTTCTTCATGTAATTTTAGATTAATGATAACAACAACAAAAAAAAGCAAAGTCAAAAAATGATCTCAATTTATTTACCTAACTAGGAAAGGAAAATAGCCTATACATTTTTTTAATTGCTTAGGGAAAGAGGTGAGGATGGGCATATCACAGAAAATCAAACCAGCACTACCTACATTATCATAGGCTGTTCGGCTAACTCTCCGTGAGCATCAGACTGTCAGTGCCTTGAGGGAAGCAGCTGTGTGTAGTGTGAACACAGGACTATGGGAAAACCGAAGGAACAACTAAGCCCTCCTCCTATCATGTAGAAAAATGACTCAAAAGGTTTACTGACTTGATTTGAGCATTTTATAGTTTGATTAGTAGGGTTAAGGTTCTAAGTACTGTTTTTATTTTAAAAGACTTAAGATAGAATATACAAATAAGAGCCCCAAAACACTTTTTGAATATATAAAGGTTGAGGGGAAGACATGCTAAACTCTGGAAATGTTTTTTAAACTTTGCCTCCTCAAAACTGTTTGGGGTCCTCATGGTCCCTAAAAGGGATGAGGGAGGCAAATGCACTTTAGGCCAGCAGCTGCCTTAAGGGTATCTTCACTCCCTTCGATTCTCCATCAGCTTTCCCCTACCCCACCCCAAATGACCTTCTAATCTAAGTAAAAATGTGTTTGCCTTGCAAGTAGATTCAAGATAGGACCCCTAATATTAACTAATTGATCAACTAACTGGTAATTAACTGGAAACAATGAACATTTCAAGTTTTTGATTCATAACAATATTATTAATTTTCCTCCTAGAATACTACCTGGGGGTATGTACTACATCTTTATGTGGTGGATAATGTTGGCAAACGTCTGCAAAAATGAAGCATAAATTTTTTATACAATTTCCGCTTCACTCTATGAAGATAGATATCTTCCAGCAATAAATTTAGGTTCACTTGAAAAGTAAAGCTTATTTATTTCACGTTAATAAGTAAGAAAAGTAAAGTTCAGATAACTCAAAAAGGGGAAGAGTCAGAGATTCTTATTTCTTGTTTTTGTTTCTAAAATAAGAGTCTTAGAAGAATACATCACATGACTTTAAAGCAGGCTAGAATCCTTATCCTGATTTACATGGAGTGTTGAAAGAAAACAATTACCAGAAAATTTTATACGTAACAAAATTTAAGACACTTGTTAAAAACTACAAAATGTTCCTTAAAAAATTTAAATTGTGGTAAAAAAAAAAAAGCCACATAACATAACATTTACCATCTTAACCATTTTTAAGTGTAGAGTTCAGTAATGTCAAGGATATTTATATTTTTGTGCAGTTAATCTCCAGCATGTCTCCATCTTGCAACTGAAACTCTATACCCATTAGATAACAAATCCCCATTTCCCACTCCCTCCAGTTGCTGACAACCACCATTTTTTCTGTTACTATGAATTTGGCTATTCTTGACACCTCACAGAAGAAGAATCACTTCTGTTTGTGCCTATCTTATTTCGCTTGCATAATGTCATCAAGGTTCTAGCATGTGTCAGAATTTCCTCCTTTTTTTCCTTCATTTTGTGTATCCATTCATCTGTTGATGGACACTTGAGTGGCTTCCACCTCTTGGCTATTGTGAATAGTGCTGCTATGGGTGTCCGAATATACCTTTGAGATTCTGCTTATAATAATTTGGGATATAGAATCAGAAGTAGAATATCTGAATCATATAGAACTTCTTTGTTTAACTTTTTTAGGAACCTCCAAAATGTTTTCCTTAGTGTACCATTTTAAATTCCAAAATGACTTTTTAATTTGTAGCTAGAATAAATAAATTATGACTTAAAATAGTTAAAAGAAACAATGATATTTTGAGGCAAGTTACAACAACAGTAACAAAAATCAATAGCTTTAGACTGAGACACAAAATCTTGTCCTACCAACTACTTATGTGGTAGGAAAGTTTACTATCTGGCACTAATTCAGATACTTAATGATTTTAAAGATTATACACTTAAAAAATTATTTTCTCCTATATATTATCCTACTAGAGATACCACCAAATCAGTCTCATTTTAAGAAAAATTTCTTCACATATGGAAGTTTTCAGGCTTAAAAAATACACACACACACAGACACACATACACACATACACACATATATGTGTGTGTATATGTATCCCTATTATTAAAGACCAGAAGGAAAATTACCTGATGATTTCTTCATGGTATAGAGAACTAACAACTGGCCCACCAAAACCAGTATTTACTTCTTTTCCTTTCTTCTCTGGTGACTGTGGGGAAAAAAAAGGAAGAGGTGGAAAAAAGACATGTTGACTAAAGCAGAGTATAAACCAGATATGAAATACTACTTTGCTAAGGAATACTAAAGATTTGATGAACCACAATTTTTCTAAGGCCCTACTAACAATTCCAAGATGGTACCAGATAGGCAGGAGGACACTCAGGCTGTCACAGCAGTGGGATGAGTACCCCCCAGCGAGCTAAGGTCATTCTACAACCTTCTGAAGCCATCTAAAAAGGCCATCCCTCTCGCTGATTAGAAGATGTTAGCCATGTTCACTACGGAAAATACGGATGTTCAATGTGGGAAAATGAAAATCAAATATGAAATATAAATACATCAGGAAAAATCATACCTAGATTAACAAAAATTAAAGGTTCCAAATAAGAAAGAAACTAAACTGTAGTAAAACTTCAAATTCAACCATAAAGAAAATATTTTTAGGTGGCAAGAAGGAAGGAGAGAAGGTGGAAGGGAGAAAGGAAAGGAGGTTCATATCTAAAATAAAAGAAAAAGCAAGCAAACTGTTATGGAAACATTTTTCAAAATCCAGTATTCAATACACCTTGCCCCTCGTGTTCTCAGAAAGCACAGATTAAATTTAGAAATAAGATTCTTCCAAAATTTGTAATGTGTAAACAGTGAAGTTAGACATTACTATTGTCTGAAAGGATCAAATTGTAATCTTTACAAAATCCTACATCTCCAACATACTGACAGTTTTTAGGCCAGGCTACCCTGCAAAAATAAAAATTCTGACTCAACATAAATACTATCTTATAATCACAATTAATCACTTTTACTATTTAATATGACTGCAAAAAGACTTGTTTCACTAGACTAGAAAAATACAGGTAATCACCATACATACATACATGCACATATGAGTGTGTGTGTGTGTGTGTGTGTCTGTACTTTAAAGTAATTTATTGTTACTTATTTTGTTATTTTCTTTTGGTCTGAGAACCACTGGGTTGAGGAAGAAGATCCCAGAAACACAATATTCTATCAGTTCTTAACATTATTGGGGGAACTAATGTTTCAAGAAATGGTAGGACTTTTTTATGTGAATTAAGTCAGTTATCAATTTATGACTGAAACTAAGGTAGAATATCACAAACAACAACTACTGTCATGTTTAAATGACAAAATATATAGAGTATGCTAGTCTGCAAAGAATTTTCAGGTTAGAGAATGTTTTTCTTTACATTAAAAAAACATATAATTGGATTAAATGGGGAGAACTCATTTAATCCAATTATATTCTAATATATGCTCCAGTAGTATGATAAAGTTGAAATGCACTTGGTGCTCAAGAGAAGGTTGCTTAATGAATAACAAAACTGGAAATGAGAAAACCGGATATCAGAAGATAAAGAAAGAGATAGAACCAAGTACAGACTGTCAAGCACAGCTTCCTGAAAAAGAACAGAATCCAAGAAGATAACATAGGAATAAATCTAGGTGACCTTGGGTTTGGCAATTACTTTTTAGATAAAACACCTGATAACTTAATCTTTACTAAAATTAAAAACATCTGCTCTGTGAAAGATACTGTTAAGAAAATGAAATGAGAAACCACAAACTGGGAAAAAATCTTTGCAAAACACATATCTGATAAAGGACTGGTACTCAAAATGTATTTTTAATAACTCAACAACAAAATGACAAATAGAAACTTAAAGGCCAATAACCCAGACAAACATAGATTTAAAAATCCTCAAGAAAATATTAGCAAAAAGAATTCAACAATACATTAAAAGGATCATATACCACAATCAAGTTGGATTTATTACAGGGATGCAAGGATGGTTCAACATCTGCAAATCAATCAATCAATGTGATATGACTCATTACCAAAATGAAGGGTAAAAACAATATGATCATCTCAGTTGATGCAAAAGGAGCCAACATTCAAATATGGTAAAATCTTTCAAAAAAGAGGGTACAGAGGGATATATATCAACACAATAAAGTCCATATCTGGCAAACCCACAACTAAGATGATACTCAAGAGTGAAAAGCTGAAAGATTTTCCTCTAAGATCACGAACAAGACAAGAATGCCCACTCTAACCACCTTAATTAGCATTAGAAGTTGTAGCCACAAAAGTCAAATAAGATAAAGAAATAGAAGGCATTCAGATCAGAAAGGAAGAAGGAAAACTGCCACTATATGCAGATGACATGAAACTATATATAGAAAACCCTAAAGACTTCACCAAAAAACTGTTAGGACTAATAAACAAATTCAGTAAGACTGCAGGATACAAAATCAATGAACAAAAATCTGTCTCATTTCTATATACTAATAATGAATTTCAGAAGGAGAAATTAAGAAATCAATCCCACAATGCTTCAAAGAGAATAAAACCCCTAGGAATAAATGTAGCCAAGGAGGTGAAAGACATATGTAAACTATAAGACACTGATGAAAGAAACTGGAAAGACATAAATAAATAGAAAAATATTCCATGATCATAGGTTGGAATAATTAATATTGTTAAAATGTCCATACCACCTAAAGCAATCTAAAGATGAAATGCAATACCTATCAAAACTCCTAGGGCATTTTTCACAAAAATAAAATAATCTTAAAATTTATGGAACCTCAAAAAACCCCAAGTAGCCAAAGCAATATTGAAAAAGAAAAACAAAGATGGAGGCATCATGCCTCCTGATTTCAAACTGTATTGCAAAGTTACAGTAACCAAAAAGCATTGGCATAAAAATGGACACACAGATCAATGAGAGCCAAGACATAAATCCATGCATGTATGGTTAATTAATTTACAACAAAGGAGCAAAGAATATTCAATGGGAAAAAGACAGTCCCTTCAATAAATGGTGCTGAGTAAACCTGACAGTCACATGCAAAAGAATAAAACTGGATCACTATCTTACACCATACACAAAAATTAATCAATGACTTGCATGTAAGACCTGAAACAATAAAACTCCTAAAAGAAAACATAGGTATGAGTTTCTTACATAAGTCCAGGTGATGATTTTTATATTTATTTTGGCCAAAAGCCATAACAAAAGCAAAAATTAAAAAGTGCAACTACATCAGACTGAGAGCTGCTGTACAGCAATGGAAACCATCAACAAAATGAAAAGACTTCCTACTGAATAGAAGAAAATATTTGTAAATCATGTATTTGACAAGGGGTTAAAATATATAAAGAACTCATTAAACTCAGTAGAAAAAAAAGCAATCTGATTCAAAAACTGGCAGAGGATCTTAATAGACATTTTCCCAAAGAAGACACATAGGTGGCCAACAGGTACATGAAAAGCAGCTCAATATCACTAATTATCAGGGAAATGCAAATCAAAACCACAATGTTAGAATGGCTATTATCAAAAAGAGAAGAAACAAGTGTTCGGGAGGTCGTGAAGAAAAAGCAACACTTGTAGATGACTTGGGGATGAAAATTGGTATAGCCACTATAGAAAACAGTTATGAAGGTTCCTCAAAAACTTAAAAATACAACTATCATATGATTCAGCAATTCCACTTCTGGGTATTTATCCAAAAGAAACAAAAACTTTAACTCAGAGAGATATACACACACCCATGTTCACTGCAGCATTATTTACAATAGTCAACGAATGGAAACAACCTAAGGGTCTATAAATGGATGAATGCATAAAGAAAATGTCACACACACACACACACACACACACACACACACACACACACACACACACAGGAACTGTATTGAACCATAAAAAAGAAGGAAGTCTTGCCATCTGCAGTAACACTGATGGACCTTGAGGGCATTATGCCAAGTGAAATAAGTCAGATAGAGAAAGACAAATACTGATGACCTCACTTACATGTGGCATCTAAAAAAACAAAAACAAATCACAAAAACAAATTCATAGATATAGAGAACAGATTGATGGTTGCCAGAAGCAGGGGTGTTGGAGGGTAGAAGAAATGGGTGAAGGTGGTCAGAATTCCTAATTATAAGTCATGAAGGTGTAATGTAGTGCATGGTGACTATAGTTATTACTACTGTGTTGTATATTTGAAAGTTACTGAGAGAGTAAATCTCAAAAGTTCTCATCACCAGAAAAAAAATTATAACTATGTAATGGTAACAGATGTTAACTAGACTTACTGTGGTGGTCATTAAGCAAAAAAAAAAAAAAAGAAATAACCAATTTAAAAATGGTAAAAGATCTGAATAGACACCTTACCAAAGAAGATACACAGATGGGAAATAAGGAAATGAAAAGATGTCTGGCAACGTATGTTATGAGAGAACTGCAAATTAAAAAAATGAAATTGAAATATGACTACACACCTCTTAGAAGTGCTGAAATCCAAAACACTGACAACACCAAATGCTGGTGAGAATGTGGAGCCATCAGGAACTCTTATTCATTGCTGAATGAAATGCAAAGTGAAACAGCCATTTTGGAAGACAGTTGGGGCAGTTCTAACAAAGAAAACTTACTCTTATGATATGGTCCAGCAATTGTGTATTTACCCGAAGAGGTCAAAAGATCATGCCCATGAAACTTGAATGTTTATAGCAGTCTTTCCTAACTGTGAAAACCAAGAAGCAACCAAGATATTCTCCAATAAGTGAAACAATAAAAAAATATTGTGGTATTCAATAGAATATTATTCAGCAATAAAAAGTGAGCTATTATAGATTAAGAAAAAAGGGTATGAACTCAAGTAAAATCAGAAATGAAAGAAGAGACATTACTATTGATGCCACAGAAATTTTCAAAGATTGTAAGAGACTACTATGAAAAATTATATGCCAATAAATTGGGTAACCTAGAAGAAATGGATAAATTCTTAGAAACATACAACCTATCATGACTAAATTATAAAGAAATAAAAAATCTAAATAGATCTATAACTGGTAAAGAGATTGAATCAGAAATAAAATATCTCCCAATGGAGAAAATCCCAGAACTATATATGACTTCACTGGGGAGTTCTACCAAACATTTTAAGAATTAA